GGAGGGAAGGGATGATGGAAATGGGAAGGATCCGGCGAGGACCTGCAAAGACAGAGTAATGATGGGCAAGGTCCAATGGTGATTGACTATAAAATATAATGCATGGAAATGATTGAATGAAACACAGTGTGAATGAAGAATAGTGTGAATCACAATGTACACAAACTTTGTAAGCAAACCAATAGAAAAGAAAATTTGAAAAAAGTTTAACTCTTTTTTAAAAAAAGGAAAAAAGTAAATTGACAAGCCTTTCGTTCACCCTAAAGTACATATAAACCACTGCCCTTTAGGCTAATTTATGAGGCTGTACATTGCATGCATGAGAGGAAATTACCCATCTTCTCACTCAGAGTCACTGGTGGATTATAACTGGTGGAGAGGCACAGCATTTGGGTTAACAGTGCAACTCTCTCAGAGCTGTCCTTTAACTAATAGTCAAGTACAAAACATTTGAGTCAGCCAGGGACCTGGACACATATTGTTATGCACAAGTTGTATAGATAATAGATTGAGACATCACATGTTGTTGTTGTTGCTTTAGATGCTATTGAGATGGCTTCAACTCATTGTGACTGAGTCTACGTGCAACAGAATAAAACCTCACAGTCTATGCCCACTGATGCACTGTGTCAATCCATCATGTTGAGGGTTTTCTTCTCCTTCTCTGGCCCTCCACCTTTGCAAGCATGATGTCTCTTACCCAGTACAGGTCCCTCCTGATAACCCAAAGTATGGGAGAAGAAGTCTCGCTCACTATCCTTGCCTCTAATGTATCGCATATGTGTTATTGTTCGATGCCCATTGAATTGATTCCAATTCAAAGCAATCTCATGTGACAGAGGAGAACTGTCCTTAAGAATCTTCTTGGCTATACTTTTGCACTGCTAAAAGCAGCACCTTTCTAGAAGTTCAAATCCACTAGTGGCTCTGCAAGATAAATATGTTATTTACAGCCTCTGAAAGCCAGCTGAGCAATCAGCTATGAGTATGTTCCAACTGGACAGCATTGAGTGTGTGATTATATGGAAGCAGATCATCAGGTTTTTCTTCTGTGGAACCATTGGGAAGATTTTAACGGCCAGCTTTGGATAGCAGCAATGGAGAGCTTAATTGTTTATTCTTATCAAATATATGTTGTTGTTAGTTGTTGGTGGTGTTATGTGGTGTCGAGTCAGTTCTGATTCACAGATGACCCTCTAGCGGGTTTTCAGAAGCTGTAAATCGCACAGAAAGCAACTATCCATCTTTCTTCCACAGAGCAGCTGGTGGATTGGAACTGCTTGCTTTTGGGTACAACTCTTTACCCACTACACCACCAGAACTGCTTGCTTTTGGGTACAACTCTTTACCCACTACACCACCAGAACTTTTTTTTTCGCCACTAGAACGTCTATTATGATGATGATGATGATGATGATGAGTGTGTGTGTACCATCAAGTCATATCTGACTGGTACAGAAGGAGATTGTCCCTCCTTTCCCGGCAGAGCATCTGGTGGATTCGAACCATGTGCCTCTGGGATTGCAGTGCAGCTTCTTGCCACTAGGCCACCAGAGCTCCCCTAGAACTTCTTTATCACATATATACATACTACACATAATGTCACTTACATACTTTTGCTATATGAATGCAAAACAAAGCATCTTTTTATTATCTGATTTTTCTCAGAATCAAATTAACTGTCTCAACAAGTGTCAAGGAGCCTGACCCAATCTTAGTGCCACAAATAGAAATATCCACCAGATGGCACTCTTTCCCCACTTCCCGTACTCCCAAACGCTGCCAGAGGTGTCGCCTCTTCTGGCTTCTGCACAAACGGGGGGCCCCCCCGGGTGCACCCCAGGTGGCCCCCAAGCAGCCCCTAGGCAAGTGCAGCAGACTTGATCGATCCCCAAAGTCCGCATGCTCCGCACACTGAGATCGGCTTTGCCTGGTCGCCGTCCACGTTGGGGGCTTGCAGAGAGCTCTCCCTTTAGACAGCCCTTAAAATTGATCTACATGTTTCTCCACCAGCCAGGGGCTGCGCTCAGCCCAGGCTGCCTCTGGTTAGGTCAGCACAGCTCAAGGGGGACCTTCTTCGGAACCTGCTCCATCCTTCAGGACACCCCAGAAGGGAGTCAGGGCCATTTGTACAGGTGACAAGCTCACACCTGTACGCTCACCCCCTCTGTCTGAAGCCCCTAGGGGTCAGTGGGAAGCTGAGGGAGAATAGCCAGGACGTGGGACCTTGGAGCCTCGGATTGGCCAAGGGCTGGTATCGGTTAGCACTTCCCGCCCAAATCAGATCTCGACCCAGGATCGCCAGTTTAGGGCCAGAAGGAAGCTCTTTCGCTGCATCTTAAGCAAACGTCTCAGAGGTGGAGAAAGTAGGGTAGGCAGCGCCCTTCCCACACCCAGGCCCGGAACGGGCTCCCCGGGAATCTCACGTATCTCGGGTGTGAGCAACGTGGGGCGACAAACTAGGAGACGGCTGGAAATCCGGCGGGGAGCGCAGTCCTGAGCTCCGGCAGCGGCGCGGGTCCCCCGCCCCCTCCTCCCCCGGGAGCCGCGGGAAATTATTTATTAAAACACCGCCCGCGCTCTCATTTATTTGCGGTGAATAATCCTCGGCATCTCGGCGCGTTTATTAAACCTTTCCCGTCCCCGCGCCCGCATTACTTTAATAATAAATCGCGTGTCACTTCCCAGCGACGTTATTAAAGCCGGTGCTCTGAGCAGAGGCGGGGGAGGGAGGCGCCAGCGGTTCCTCCCTTTTCTGGCTGTGGGGCCTGAACCCGCAGGACCGCGGAGGGGGAAACTGAGGCTGTCAGGAGACTGGGAGTTTGTACCAGAACGTCCTACAAAGTGTGGACATGCAATTGAGGCGTTAGATTTCCAGGGCGCGTGTGCCCTTCTCTGCTTTGGCGGAGGTCTGCACGCCGAGCTCTGGTTCTGAAAGTGGGAACCCGCGGGGCCCTGGACCCACTAAGGGGCGCCCCTGAGCCTGTCCCGGCAGGAACTCAATACCAAGATCTAGAGTCAGGCCGCCTCCAGTCTCAGATTCAAGTTCCCTTGCTCACGTGGAGCAGACTTGGTATTGAAGCCAAACAGCCAATACAGTCCCCTTCCCACTGTCACCCGCTTCTCCACACCCCTGCTTCTGCGTCTGTGGCCGCTCTAGAATTCTCTCCGAATGCCTCCGCCAGTTTTTGGAAAAAGATATGCTGAGAAAGGAAAGGTCAGAGAAAGAGAGGAAGCCCCTAAACAAGAAGGATTGACACAGTGACCGCAGCAATGGGCTTGATCACTGTGGAAATTGTGAGGACGGCGCGCTGTACAGGCAAGGTTCCGATCTGTTTGTTCCTAAGGTTGCTATGAGTCGTAGCCTTCTCCACAGCACTTAACAATAACATCCCAGCCCACGCGCTGTCAGGGGCCTCCACCGCGAGGACTGTCCCCCCGCAAAGCTGGGAGCCTCGCAGCTCCGAGGGAGGGGCGGCCCAGTGCAGGGACACGCCCCTCCCAGGAGGCCGGGCTCCCTGCGAAGGGCCCCGAGGACAAGCTCAGACGCCGCCGAGACACAGCGATCCCTCTTGTGGTGGCGCCAGGCTCCGGGAGGAGCCCAGGCGCAAAGGAGCCTGTCGCCATCCACATAAAGGGTCTTGGCCTCACTGACTTACTCATTCATGCACTCCTTCAATCATTCAATAAACGTTTCCCAACACTGGGCCTCATCAGTGGAGGAGGCAAGGAGAATGTGGGGGAAAACATTTTGTGATTCTGAAGGGGGGTGGGTCCTCAACCAGATTCGATAGATCCCAGAGCAGTGCTAATAGAAGAGGGAAGAGGTTTACCATAACTTTAACTGAGAAATGGGTAGATTCTTTGATGGGAGCTGGGGAAGGGAGCTGCAGTCTCTTAAAAGTGGCCAGACTTCCCCTACCCAAACTTCCCCCCACCCTTGTATTGGGAGACCCCACTGTAGTCTTGGTTCTTCAGCCAGCTGAGATGAAAAGAGGACCGGTGGTCTATCTCCACACCAGCCCCAGCAGAGAGCAGTCTGGAAGAATACCCCTCTCCTCTCTGACAAGCTGGCTCCAGCCTTCCTCCCCAGAGAACAGGCTAGGCCAGTGCAGAGCACAGACCTTCTCTCTGTACATCTGGCAGGCATGTGCTTCTACAGAAAGACCTGCAGCCCCTGAAGCCAGACTCCCTTCCTTGTGTGTGAGACATACCAGGGAAATACAGGTTCCGGGTGCACATCTGCTCAAGCTGTTTGGGCACCTTTGTGTCACAGTTTATTCACAGGTCTTTATTGGGTCCCTAACTGCAGCTTAGCCCTATGCTAGCCATTATAAGTGGTATACAGAACAGTCTAAGGCATAATGCTGGCCTCATTGTGTTTCCAGAGGGATAAGAAAAACCACATGACCAAACTCTCACCTTGATCCTCTGTGCTCTCCTGCAGAGCACACACCACACAGGAGAACCACAGTTGGTTGATATCCCTGGGACTTATGAGAGAGGGAAGATGTCAGGAGTGTGAGTTTTAAGGAAGGGTAAACTGAAGCTATCGAAAATTTGGAGACCAGGAAAATAACAGCTGGGAAAAAAGCTTGTGCACTGGAGGTTAGAGAGGAGCAGGTGGCTGGGCAGGGCTAGATCAAGGGATTGAAGTGGAGGATCCTAGTGTCCACTCCAGCCTCTACCTGCACCCACTCTTCTGTGACTAGTTGGTAGCTGGTGATATCTGCTTGTCTGGTCCACACTAGAGACAGTCCTGGATGGGGCATCTATTCCTTGGGCCCTTCTAAGCCCCAGGTCTCCTGGTCTCTGCTTCTCCTCATCCCTTTCCCCAACTTTTGCCCCCGTCCTCTTCAATATCACCATGATCTCCCCTAGTAAGAGAGGAGTCATCCTGGAGAGGGGGGTCTCTGCTCCCCTCCAACTTCAAATTCTTTTTAAGAGCAGGATGAATACTATCCCTCACTCCCCCATCTCCATGGCTGAGGGCTCTGGACCTAGTAGTAATCCTCAGCCTCTTCACTCTCGGTTTGCTCCTGGGTGAGAAGGTTTAGGGCCCGTAGCTGGGAGATGCTTGTGAAGTTCAGCTGGTCTGCAAATACATGTTGCAAGGAGAGGGGACAAAAGAGAAGCTGTTAGCGCCCATCTATTCCAGTGAGAAAGTCACGCTTGTAAATGCAAAATGACTCCGTTCCATACATACACATTCAAGGGCCCCAATCCACCACCATCTGTCCAGACCCCAGGGTTCAGGGCACCCTCTTACCTGGTGTCAGTACAGTCAGGCTGGCTGGGGCCTCTGCCTGACCCAGGGCATTGCGGGCAAGGCAGCGGTAGGTGCCTTCATCACTGGGGCGCACAGACTGGATCTGCAGCCAGCCAGTCACCTCAAACCTCTGGGGTCCACCCCTGAACTGAAGCCAGAAAAGGAATCATCAGGGCCCTTCCAGGGAGGTTCTGGGTTGCTGAGAAAGGTCTCTTTTCCCTGTGCCTACCTGCACAGAGATGTGGGGGTCATCCCCTGGCAGCTGGATGTCCAAACCATCTTTCCTCCACTCAATGGAGGCCATAGGGTAGGCAAACACTTCACAGCCAAAGATCACGTCCTGCCCTGTCACATTCCAAATGTCATGTGGGTGTGACACAATCTGGGGCTCTGGAGGTGGAAAGGGGAGGCCTTAGAACAGGATGGCACACCCAGCCCAGCAAAGATCCATTATACAAACCATTGTGGCCATGATCATGGGAAATGCTTATTGAGGTACACACACAACCATAAACAGGACACTTGCACAGAAAGACACACACAAACACAGATGCAGCTACACAGGAGAGTATAAAAGATGACCGGGAGGTGTGCATGCACATACACAATGTGCCACCAAGCACACAGATGCACATCTCAGCCTGGCTCTGTCCCCAATTGCTCCCCTGTCCTCATTCCACCCTGCAGGTCCCCAGCCTGCCTAGTTTGTAACCAACACCTTCTTCACCTCTCCTTCCCCCTTTCCTAGCCAGGCCCAGTTCCCAAAGCCCTAACGTGCAGCCCCTCCTCCATCCCACTCCCAGGGGCTTCCAAGCCGCCAAAGCCAAGAAACTGGAACCGGCCCGGGAGCTAGGCAGGAAGCCTGGGGGAGGGGAAAGGAGGGGGAAAGTGTTGGGACTCCCGCTGGGTGTTTGCTTTCCAGGCAATTACAGCCAAGCCAGACCGGGATCCACAGCTCAGGAAGGGAAAGTTACTAAAGCTTCCAAAGAAAACTCGAGACCCCTGGTGGAATGGTGGGGTGGGGGCAGCTAAACTCCCCCTTCACTAACTCTTAAGTGCTAAAGAAGGAAATAGAACAATAGAACTGCTCTCCGAATTTGCCAAAAGAAAACTTGTCGGATCTCAAGTTTGTTGTCTGGGCTTCAGTTGGTCTGGAGAAAGTCAGGGGAGGAGGTGGGGTAAGGGCAGCATTTTTCTTTCCTCTCTTAATTTTGAGGTTCATCACTGGCTTTGTTCTTGCTCCCTCAGATACTGGTTCCTGAAGTGGGCGTCTAGAGCTTTCTGGCAGCTGGGCGCATGCTCAGGGCCCGCACCTTCAGGCCTCTGCGGGCCAGCCGCAGAAACAAATTCTAACACCGGGCTCAAGGCCTCTCTGGCTTCATCACTTTCGCTCAGCTGTCCAGAAGAAACCAATGCTCGCTGGCAGCCTATGAGTAGTGCCTCAAAAACCCCTAAGGGATGGGGGTAGGGTCCCCCTGGCCAATCGTACCCGACTCACAGGGTCCTGGGTGCGCCACGGTGATGTTGACGTCGGGCCATGCACGGGCCGCCTCCTGCAAACGACAGATCTGCGGGTAGGTGCGGCCATCTGAGCCGCAGAGCGGACGCTGCGAGCGGCAGACACACAGCGGCTCGGGCACCTCGCCGTGGCTCAGATCGCCGCCTGTGTCCAAACGGCACTCCAGCTGCTCACCGCATTGCCCGTAGAAGTGAGCGCTGGGGTCCAGGTCGCAGAGTTGGCCCTCGAGATTGGCACATTCCCAGCAGCAGCCGCACACGTCGCGCACTTGGCCGGCCAGACAGCCCCGCGGCGTGGCGCACTCTTCTGGCCGGCAGGGCGCGCAGCCGTCTCCTTCCACCAGCAGCCGCAGCCAGCTCCGCTGCAGGTAATCCGGGCCTGGGGATGGTCGCGCCCCGGTTAGGAGTGGCGTCAGCACCAGCAGAAGTAGCAGGAGCAGCGTCAAAGCAGCTGCGGGCGACCGCGGCATGGTTAGCGGGAAGCCTTGTGAACACTTGGGGCATCAGCGCATCTGTGGCACCCTGCCAGGGAAGAAAGCCAGGTCAGGAGGCCGGAGTGATGCCTATGACCAAAAGCCAATCTCACTTCTCTTTTTACCAGAGTTTGACCCTATCATGGTCCCCTGGTGCTCTCTTTGTCTGGACTCCTTCCCTGTTAACTTTGCAAATGAAATGGACCCTCAACACATGGGCAGAATTACCCTCTTGGACCATCAGTTATGCCAAGTGGCAATAGAACCAGTCTGTTCCTGAGGGATTGGAAGCTGGAGAAAGGTGAGAGGAAGGGGTGAGAAAGCTTAGGCGCGGGTAGAGGGAGGATGTGTACACATACACACACACACACCACTACCAACATTACACACCATCTGGTACAGCCTACCTCCATAGTAGATGGGAATGGGCAGTTCCAGAAGTATGGATTCATTAATGTCGGTGGAAGAGAAGAGGTAGGGGATGATGTTCCTTGTGGAGCCTGGGGCCCACAGTGCTCACCTAGAGTTCAGGATTAGACCCTCCGAAGCAGGTGACACCTGTCCGGAAAAGGAGGCGCTGGAAAGAACACTGAGGCACGCAGTGGGGCTGGACCTGCTGACCACCTCGGCTGGGACCTGATGATCTCTGAGAGCCCACGGACTTGGACTCAGTGAGTAGCTCCTCCGCCCCCTCTCCCCGCCCACCGACGTCGCACACTGCCTCCCCAACCCCTCTGGTTCTGAGGCTGCCAATTTCATGCAACATGGGACCCTCCCAGGCCACTTCCCCCTATCCTGGCCCAAAATCATACTGAGAGTAGAAAAGCGGTAACCGTAATAAGATACCGAAATGGGGGGGCGGGGCTGCAAGGACTACATATGGGGGGCTGGGCAGCGGAGTCTGGAAGCCAAGTTTCACAGTCCCTGGGGTCTGCTAGAGGAGCTTTATAAAAAGTTGAGTGTGCAAGCTCTGGTGCCAGCTCTTTTTATGTCGATGTCTGGGCGCTGCTGGATAGAGGAACCAACCAAGGCCGTATCCTCGAAGTGCAGGGCTGGCTTCCTAAGGCTGATTGTAGGCTTGCATCCCTCTCTCCCCGACTTTACTCCCACACCCAAGCGCCGCCCAGAAACTTAGCCATTACATTGACTCCCCACATCTAGCCGCCTCTCCCCTCCCAACATCCGGCAGGTGCTTCAACCCCAGAATGAGCCGATGATTAGAGGTTGGATCCACTCGAGGCCGCAGAAAAAGGGCGCCTCCCCAGAGGGCGTTGCTCTTAGCCTGGATTACAGGTTATGGCTCCTAGAATGGCAGGATCGGAGGCACTCTGTCCCCGCTGCCGCCCCTAGTGCCACCGTGGCGCTTTGAGCTGGGGGCTGGGGAGAGAGGGTTCCTGGAGACTCGCCCATCATACTGGAGTCGGCCAGGCCCCGCCCTCGCCTACCCCGAGCCGGCCAGCGGACGCCGCACAACACGCAAGTGCGTTTGGTTGGAATCTCGGGTTTACCGTTGGTGAAGGGACGTGATTTAGTCAGGCCCCGCCCCCAGACTTGTGTTTCCTGTAGGGACGGCTCCACCAATCCCGAATAAGGGGCGGAGTCGGGTCTGGGAACGCCCCGCCCCGGGGGCTAGGCTCCGCATGCGCACTAGAGTCCGGGAGGATTCCGCCTGCGACTGTGCAATAGCGGAGCGTAACCGAGCTTGACCAAGCCTTGCAACTTAGGGCTTCTTGAACTGCGCAGATAACTCCCAGTAAAAGGGGTTCTAAACTCAGTGGGTGAAGCCAGGTATTCTGTCACCTCTTTCTAAAATTCAAAGGAGCCTCAGAAGCGGACTTTACGCGATGTCTCTTAACTGTCGCGAGAGTCAAAACAGGAAGTCTTGGAAGTCAGATCAATTAATTTAAAAAAAAAGAAAGAAAAACAACGCGCGGTGTTTTAAACCTGAAATAGAATGGGCGGAACCACATACGGTTTATAGGTATGGAAAACTCCTTGATTTTTTCAAGACACTTCAAGTGTCAACTCTAAATAGGAGCATCTCTGATAAAGGGGTAACAAGTTTGTAGTTAAGTGGAGTTTAACTCCTAATCCTCTTGTGTGCAATTCTAAAAGGTTTTCAGTGACTCTGACCTTTTCTGAAGTATATTGCCAGGCCTTTCTTTCAAGGCATCTTTCAGAACATTTAACTGCACCACCCAGGAACTTGAAAAGAGAGCGTTGTCGCCAGCTGATTTATAGTGACCCTGCATTACAGAGTAAAACTGCTCCATAGAGTTTGTGAGGCTGTAATCTTTACAGGATTATATCACTAGGTCATACTCCACAGAGCCACTAGGTAGTTTCGAACCGCAAACATTTTGGTTAGCAGCTGAACACTTAACCACACCACCTTTGAGAAGGGGTAACTATAATAACAAAAAATCCCAAATAAGCCTGTTGCCATCTTGTTAATTCCAATTTATAGTAACTATAGGACAGAGTAGAGAATGGTTTATAAATCAGAATACCAAATAGTTTCCCCACAGAGCAGCTGGTGCATTCATATGCTGCCTTTTCTGTTAGCAGCTTAACCATTGTACTACCTTAACCATTGTGCTACCAGGGCTCCTGAGAAGGAGGTCCAAAAGCCAAACCCAATGTAGTCCAGTTCATTTATTCTCCATTGGATTTCCAGAGTTGTAAATCTTTATGGAATGAGACTGCCTAGCTTTCTCTGGCAAAGCAACTAGTGAATGTGAACTTTAGATCTTTTGGGTAGCCCGATGCCATTACACATGATGCTACCAGGATTACTTGGGAAGGGAGTTGTTATTCCGTACCGTTGAATTGGAACCGACTCAACTGACCCTCCCTCAGGTTTTCAGAGGCTGTAAATTGCACGGGAGGAGATAGCCCATCTTCCTCCGAGCAGCTGGTGGACTCAAACCCTGTGCTTTGGGATTGCAGTGCAGCCTCTTTCCCCTAGGTTGCCAGAGCCCCCTTGAGAAGGGAATTCAGGAGACTTAACATTTTGAAACTACTGTTTAAAAGGGATATGTGATTAGGAATTTTTGTCATGACAGGAGTCCAGAGCGAAGGCTACATAGTGGAGTGGACCTGGGGGGGAGGGATTGTAAAACAATGAAATAATTTTTCTTTTACTTTTCCAAGAGGGTAGTGTACTGGGAGGGGAGGGTTGGGAAGGGGGGAAAATGCAACAATGAATGAATGGAAATCCAAAGTCTCAGTAAATTTTCATTGAAATTAATAATAATAAAAAAGAAAAATAATTTTGAAACTGGGTCATAGAGCCAGTAAAGGAAAGGCTTCTGGATTTGATAAGAGCTATCGGGATTGAGATAAATTTCCTGGGAGACAAAGCAGCTTAGAATCTCTCCGTGAATTCCTATGGGTGTCTAAGACCTGGAATGGACATTCAAACAATAAACTGCACGGACCTGGTGGTTGTTTCAGTCTTTGCTAGGTTGTAAGCCTGTGGCGTCTAACTCTCCATTGTATACTATGAACCCTGCTCCAACACTGGTACATAAAGTCTCAGTGAATATTTGTGGATTAAATGTGAAAGATTTTTACTGAGGATGAAAGTCAAGTTTAACCCGGAAAGCCCTTGATAGAGGCCAGATAGACAGGGAGGGAGCGCCCTCTGGTGGACATGTGGTTTATGAAGAAACTAAGACCTTACGTATAGAAAATGCTTTGCTCTCAAATTGACTCTCTGACTCATAGGACAGTGTTGAACTGTCCCACGGGATATATAAGACTGTAATTCTTATAGGACTAGACTGCTATACCTTTCTCTTATGGTGCAGCTTGTGGTTCAAACTGCCAACCTTTCCTTTCAAAGACAAGTGCTTATCCACTGCACTACCAGGCCTCCTGTTGACTGTGCTTATAGAAGGCACTAAATATGTTGAGAAAGCTCTAATGGGCTAGAAAATAAAGAGTTGCACAGCCAACCCCAAATCAGGAAATTAAAATCCAATATCTGCTCTGATGGAGAAATATGGGCAAGCTCCTCTCTTGCGATTCACAACATCTGAAAACCTGTTGGAGGGTCAGCTATGAGTCAAGTTCCAACTCGAAGGCACGCACAACAAATATGTTGACTAAAGTGGGGATCCACTTTTAGTTAGTAGAGATTTTATTCCAGGAAAATACCACTTACTGTAAAAATAATATATTAAAGTAAGGGAGAAGGGGTTGTTTGCAATAAGATACAATTTTAAAGTCTAAATAAATCCTCTGAGTCTCATTATTTAACATCTCTTGTCCACTAGGACTCAAAGTACATTCCATAATATATATGGGCAACATCATTATAAACAGCAAAAGATATGATGTATTTGATGGGCTTCTACAAAACCATTGTTGGGTGATATCAAGTAGATTCTTAGCTGTTAGATCAAAGGATGTTTCCCTAGCCTCTGGTATAGATAATGTGAATGCTGCAGGGAGAGAGAATGGCAAGTGGCAGCATCCTTTGCACTTGTGTAAGAGAAAATAGATTCAGAGGAAGAGAGCAACCTGTCTCTTTTTTGCTTTCTTTTCTATAAATGCTTGCACTAGAGAAGGAATGAAGTGTATAGAATGTAGTTTGCTTTCCACTGTGAGTCATGGTATAGTGTTCACAGATTACCATACTTTCCTTCAGCTACTTAGCTGTGAAACAGAATATTGTGTTGTTGTTATGCTGTTGAGTAGCCTGCGACCCATAGTGACCCTCTGTACAGTGGCTCTGAATCCTGCCCTGTCCTGAGCCAGTCTCACTAATTCCAATACACTAACCCTCCTTGCCCCAGTTACTGTATCAATCCATCTCATCTGGAATCACCCTCTCCTGCGTTGTCCCTCCACCCTTCTGAGCATGATGTTCTCCTTCTCCAAGGACTAGTCTCTCCTGGCATGTAACCAAAGTATGTAAGATGGAGCTTCAAAATCCTAGCCTCCAAGGAGAAACTTGGTTTCACCCTCTCCAAGATAGATCTATTTCTTTTCTTGGCAATCCAAGAAATGTCCAAGACTTCTTCAGCACCACAATTC